AAAATCCTGCTGGTGATTAGACCTTTAGCATTTTCCTGAACTTGTTTATAGGAGAAAGAAGGTCTGTTGTTCCCTCTCAATTATAATTAAAATTTTCTAATGGCTGCAAAAGTCACTTTCTATTTATATTTTCTGCTTTTCTTTTGTCTTGCACAGTCCCAAGATGGAAGAGTCGAGTAATGTACTGCTTCAGGTGTTCATTTCAGTAACCTGGTATTTTAAATCTGTAACACAGAAGAAACAAATCAACTTGAGGAAATACTAACAAGGTTGAGAAATGGTCTTACTTCAGTTACTGATTTCAAGTGCTTCTTCACTCATGCTTCAAATGCCAATGCAGTGCATTATCTGACATCCCTGCAATCACAGTTTTAAGGTGACAATCTGATAATTAGATTAAAATTTAACCAGACACTGCCACGAGTGTAAAGCAGCACAAAGGAGAGGTGACCCTCTAGGTATAGATTACAAGCATATGAGGTCAAGGGTCAGAAAAATCACGTTGCACAAAGCACAGTAGTACAGAATTCAAAAATCCAGCCCGGAGTACTAGCAGGACAGATTTTTTTTTCTGGATAATCAAAAAACAACAAAAAAAGGGGCTAATACAATGGGATGGCTTGTCCACGTGAAGCCCCAGAGGAAAGGGAGGAATAGTTATTATAAATTAGAAAGGAGGCCAACTCAACCTCTGCCCAGAACAGTCAGCCCCTCCTACTTGGTTGCAAATCATAGCGAGACCACAAGAGGGGAGCACAACACAAGAGTTCAAGTTTCGTGCCAAAATTTGAGATCACTGCACACAACACCAGCTAAAGGAGGACACAAAACATTTTAAAACCATACTAGCAAGCACTGGGCTTAATCCAGTCTTAAATTAACAATTAGATGGTACCACTAACTAATACTGGTTTGTGTCTACCCTTGCTTTGTAATGGCCTACCTATTCTCAGATACATGGGGAGAAAAGCAGGATTACTCTCCTTTACAGACAAATTATTTTTCTTCCCATTTTTCTGGATAGGGAAACTAAGACAGAATGTGGTAGGCTGCTTTATGCCAAGGTGATAGATATTACTTCCCTCTCCCTTAGGCTTTTGGATGGTTTAAGCAAAAATTTGGACTATACAAGGTATAAACAATAAAAGTTGAGGCCCTTCCATAACCTCTCAAAATCTCAGAACAAACTTTCCAAAACCTATCATTCCTTTCACCTGTTGGCTCTCAGTCTGATGGTCCATACAGGACAACCTTCATCTGCAGCAGTCCCATGTGTGAAAAGCTTACTCCAGTATCTCTCAGAAAAAGTCACTCTAGCTTTCAATGGCTCGAAATGTTGAAACTGAGATAGGAATAAAACATCTTTGGAAAGGAATCACAGCTTCTCTGCTTTTATACTGGCTTTCTTTTTTGGGCTCTATTTCTAGGATTAACTGTCTAAGCAAGGTTTCTTTAAAAAGAAAAAAAAAATGAAAAGGCATGTTGCACAGAGGTCTTTCTTCTGCAGCAAATAAGAGTCCTTCTGGAGATTTTAGCCCCACATAGCAGCCTGCAGGCCACAGGGAATGTAACTAACCAGCCTGAGAGATGATAAGGACTGCCAGGGTGACAAGCAACGGTTTGAAAGGTCAGCAGGAATTTGGTTTGCTCCAAAGAAACTCCAAAGAAACAAAGCTTCTGTACCAGACCCAGAAATACAACCTATCTTACATAAAGCAATTAATTGCACAGGGAAAGGTTGGACCTGAAAAGCCTCCCACAATTCTCTCTTGTCAGAGAACATGGTCCATTTGTTAAATATCACCATATTGTATTTATAGTCAAGATTCATCCAGCTTTTCCAGCCTTTGAATCATGCCCTGCTTCCTTTCTATTATCACACAATTTTCCCCCTGTATGGGTTTCATGACCATATTGGCTCTTAACCTCCTCCCAGAATTTCATTTCACAAGCTCTTTGTCAGCCTCTGAGAACCTTTTCTGAATTTCTGAGCTACTGAGAAGTGACTTTTACACTTTTCTCAAGGGTTTCATAGATGGATTTGGAAAGGACAATATCTTGTCCACTGAAGTCAACAACAAAATTAAACTGTACATTCTCTAGCTCTGCTGTTTGATGACCAGTAGAATCATAGAATGACTTGGGTTGAAAGGGACCTTAAAGATGATCTAGTTCCAATCACTCTGCTGTAGGCAAGGACACCTTTTACTAGGCCAGGTTGCTCAGAGCTCCAACCTGGACTTAAACATTGCCAGGTATGGAGCATCTACAGCTTCTCTGGGAAACCTGATCCAGTGCCTCACCACACTCACAGTACAGAATTTCTTCCTCATATCTACTCTAAACCTACTCTCCTTCAGTTTAAATTCATTTCCCCTTGTCCTGTCACTACATGCTCTTTTAAATAGTCTCCTCCATCTTTCTTCCTTCAGGTACTGGCACGCAGCAATTAGGTCACTCAAGAGCCTTCTCTTTTTCTGGCTGAACAAACAAAATTCTCTCAACATTTTCTCGTAGGAGAGGTTCTCCATCCCTCTGATTATCTTGGTGGCCCTCCTCTGACTCTATCCAATAGGTCCATGTCCATCCTGTGCTGGGGACCCCAGAGCTGGAGGCAGTACCCAAGGTGGGGTCTCACCAGAGCAAAGTAGAGGGGCACAATCACATCCCTCACCCTGCTGGTCATGCTGCCTTGGATGCACCCCAGGACACAGTTGGCTTTCTGGGCTGCAAGTGCACATTGCCAGCTCATATCCAGCCTCTCATTGATCAGCACCCCCAAGTCCTTCTCAGCAGGATTGGAAGCCAGTAAAAGCAGGCTGACCCTTCCATCAGCTTCAGGCTCAGACCCACAGCTTCAGCTGGATATTTAAAGAGCTTGGCTTTTGGAAATATATACTAAGTTTTTCAGTATTTTTAAGACCCAGTGAAAATAGAGATGTTTAAAATTTCTATTGCTGCCTGCTTATAGCCTTTTCTCTTCCTATTTTGTCCTGTGGCAGCTTGTGTTAAAAAAAAGTGCCTGAGTGAGCCAGCCCACACACACATCATGTTTCCTCCTTGTCTATCCCTCTAGAAACTGCTTCCTCCCTCCAACACAGTTCAGGCCTTTATCTTTCTCAGCTTGGACCACTGACCTTTTACCCCAAATGGCATCCTGACCAACAGACTGAATCTGCTCTCCACAAAAAAGTCCCAACACTGAAGGGTTTTTTGGCATAAAGGGACAGACTCAGCTCGGTCCATGCAACTGGCATGGAAAGGTGCCAGACATCTAAAATTACATTTTATATGCTGCAACTAATATGCAGCACTTCTCATCTGGCATCACTCCACAGAACAGCCTCATGGCACACTACCTATGACTACAGCAGTAGAGGAAGGTAAATCAGGAATGAGTGGGCAGTATTTCTCAGGAAAAAAAATGAGACCAATGTAATGATCAGTCTTAAAGCAACCACGGGAAGGTACTTTCTCCTCACCACATAAAAAAACCACTGAGCTCTTTGCCACAGGATATTTATTATAAGGGCCAAAAGTATACATGGATTTAAAAGGCACAAGGCTATTTGGTGGAGGGAAGAATCACTAGTTCATAAGAGGTCTGGATGCAGTGTTTGGCTCAGGTGAGCCTTTAAACCACTGCTTGTGAGAGTCTGGAAATGGCTGCCTGGGTCATAGTACACCCAGTTCCCTAAACACCTCCTGTCAGGGCTTGGAGGCACCATCCTCAGTGAGACAGGTTATTGGTCTCGTCACATACCGCTGTTCTGTCCTCATTTCTCATTTTGCTGACATCCAAGCAGATTTCCCTCCCCTGGTTCTCCATACACTGAACTGCAGCCTCTTCTTCCCTTATGGGCTGCAGGCACAGACACAACTGGCTGCCAGTAACAGGTGAGATCCTGGCTGAGCCAAGAGAGTGTGCCACTGCTTCCCACTGCATGGCAAGGCTTACTGCCAACAAGCGTAGGGAACAGGGGGAGAGGCTTTGGAAGACTGCCTGTATTCAGTGCTGCTGTTTGGTGCAGGTGAGTTGTGTCCCCTGCCTGCACCTCCTGGGGGAGGGCAGGGGGGAAAAACGAGAGAGAGCAAATCTCTTCTTGGGATTTGGCTCAAAACTAAGAAGTAAAAAATAAGAAAATCAACTTTAGTTGTGCCTCAAATTTCCTGCATAGTGCAAAGAAACTGTATGCTACCTATGGAAGGAGATAATATTTCTTTCCGACTAATTGCTGCCTTACACCTTTGGACTGTAAGCTGCACAGTGAGAGACTGTCTGTTACAACAGTAAAAATGTTTGTACGGTACTACACAGGAACCTGTGTAAGAGGTTCTTGATCTCATTTGGAGAAATCTCTGCACTACTGTAATAAATGCAATGATTTTGCCTCTTACAGATACCCTGTGTATGATTTTTCAAAATAAAGCATTGGAGTAACTGCAAAACAAGTTTGTTATATCAACATACAAATGTTATCTGTCAAAAACTGAAGGCAAGAATTCTGCCATATTAAGTGCCAAGGTCTATGTTAAGAAATATTTCAACATATTTACATTCCTCCCATTTTGAAAGCATCTGCATACCTTGAACACAGAGTCACTAGGAAGAGAATCACTAGGAACAATTAATAAACACCTACTGCCTCCCCTGGTAGTATGTCTGTGTGTTCACAAGTTTCCCAACAGAGAAAGATTGGCTTATTTATCTGTTTTATAGCTAATAAGGCTTAACGTGTGGGAGTAGAAATTGGTGTTGTTGAATTCTCATGTTGTAACAGCCTCTCAGAAAGGGAAAGTTAATAGCTTTTCCTAATGATGGTCAGATTCATCATCTCTGCTCTGGAAATTTATCCCATGGCTACTGTGCCTTCAATGTGAAATAGAAAGAAATTAATAGGAAAAAAACCCTGTGAACTTTACTTTCTGAGCATGTATGGTTGTACTTACTGCACTGAGAGAAATGTACCATGTTGTTTTATTTTCTGTTTTTTTGGAAGGGGATGAAGGTGAAAAAGGAGACAGAGGAGAAGCAGGCAAACAAGGAAAGGTTGGACCAAAAGGACCAAAAGGTATTTATAACATTTTGTTGGTTATTACTGATATATGAATATCATTATGCACAACTGTAATGGTGCATATGATTGCTGATGTTTAATGCTTTTCATTCCTGTTGAACCAGTGGATTTCACAATCCTGTCAAACATTAATCAGAGAACCTAACAATACTAGGAGAGCTTGGAGCAATTCCTACCGATACTTAAGACAACCATATATGGCTGTTATGAGTGTGATTCAGAAGACCCAGATCATATGTATAATCAGAAAGATTGCTGATCCTTACTCAAATGATTCTTTAGTTGAAACTGAATTTTGAAAGTTATTTCCTAGTAATACATCAGGATGCTCAATAACATTGGGTCTCAGTTGTCTGTATTCTGCAGAAGAGCAAACAAAGCCATTGAAAACAGAAGTTCCTCTAATCAAGCAGCATCTGAGCTGAGAACAAAGAGTCACAGATGTTTCAGAACTTGGCTCAATTAAACACATTCCATATCCACAGTGTGACCTGTGGAGGGCATTTGGAGGCACCAAATGTGATGGTGTCAGCCTTGTTTGCATTCTGCAATTCAAAAACTTAATTTATCTTTAGAGTTTGATGATAATGTGTATCCATGGTCTTTCTTCCTTGATAGTGGTGTAAGACTAATCGGGAAAGTTTTTGCTTTTATAGAACCTTTAAAATCACCCTGTTATTATTGCTATAATAAAAAACTTTTTCCATTTTTAAATGCATTCTTATGATTTTGATTCTTACCTTAAAATGAACATCAGGTAAGATACAAGGGAGTCAGCTAAACAACCATTTACAAAGCATCTTACTGATGTTAAATTCAGTGTGTAAGCTGAAATTCCCTAGATTGGCCTGTCATCATTAGACAGCTATTTTAGAACTTGAACTACTAATCAATTAAAAACTACATCCGTTATTTTGGTGCTCTGAAGACAGGGAAAGCACATACAGCAAAACTAGCTCCCTACTTGCAATTCTGCTTTGAGAAGGATTCCCAGCAAAGCTGCAAGGACTTTACCTCAAGAAAGAAGGGAAGACTTTTGTCTGGGGTGGAGAAAAATGAAAACAAATAAAGCTGCTGTCAGCCTGGTTTGACTGTGAAGTAAAATCAATATTTGAATATTCACTAGCAGTTTTAGTTTGTATTTTCTGTAAGAAAATACGATATTTCTGGGCATTGAACAGGCAGTTCTATTAAGGTGCCTTGCAATGTCCCACTGTCGTATCCTACAGCAGCAGACATCTGTGCTGTACTCCTCCAAACATCCTCACGGCTGCGCTCATTCTGACTTTGCCACACATGCAGACTAGCCACACTCAGGAAAAATAGCAGCAGTAGATACCTAAACAGTGCCTTGGAAAAGAAATTACAGAAACCATCCATACTCATTTCCTTTCCATTTCTTCTCTTAGGAAACGAAGGACCAGTGGGGGATGCTGGTGACCAGGGAATGCTTGGGAAAATTGGCCCAATTGGTGGCAAGGGTAAGCTCTGGTCTGGGAGTTTTCTTGTTTTTTTCCCTTAAGGTAAAAATGTGTTTTGTGAGAGTTTCAGAGATGGAGTAATATCAGATAATGGTTGTGACCAATGCTCTCCAAATAAAGTTATGCATAAAAATTGGTGATGAGAGCTAATGGAGATATTCTTGTTTTATTTCCCATGTGCGCTATATCTGTCTGATTTGGATAAAATAATTTGGTTTATGAGTTAAAAAACCAACTCTTTTCGATGGATCTAGTTGAAGGTGTCTTGGCTCATTGCAGGAGGGTTGGACTAGATGATCTCTAAAGGTCCTCTCCAACCCAAATTATTCCATGATTCTACGGTAAAAGAGGAAAGGAGAAATCTAGCCCTTGTGAGGCAAATCCTCTGCATGTTCTAAAAAAGAAAGACAAATTTATGCCTCTCATTTGGACACAAAGGCCTAAGTTAATGTTCTGCTGCTGTTCAGGATGCCACACCTGGTCACCTGCACTGTTCTGGGTCACATGTGCACAGGACAGCTTGGTAAGGAAGGGATTTAGGAGTTTTAAGAAGATACTCATGTAAGCAGGGACAAAAACTACTTGCAAATCAAGGTAGACTCCAAGTCTGCCTGGACAATAATTTCATGAAATTATGCTCTATTTATCTTAAGAAGAAGCTCGGGCATTTCTTTCTGGTATTTCTAAAGAGTTACTTAAGAAGGAATATCAATTCTGCCACAAGGAGACCTGCCTTGAAAGCTGATCAGGAACTCCACCATCCCCAGGGGAACTCTGTGGTCTCTAACCAGTGCATCAAGCCAGGTATGCTGGTGAATGGGTGGAACAATCTCTCCAGGGAGCTTCTCAAACCAGTGTTTTCAGTAGTCCTTTGGTGGCCTCTAGCCAGCGTCAGTATCAGAGAAGAAAAGAATTTTGTCTGAGGGACTAATTTTAAATGAAGTATCTCACAAATTGCTTTTCTTTATCTGAAAATAAACCAATGATCTGAGCCTTTAAACCAAGCTCTCTCAATCTGAATGCACAATTTTCCTCTTACAGTTTTTCTCATTTTCTTTATTTGCAGAAGCAAAGGTCATTAAGTCACTGTTTAAATCTACAATTAAACATTCTAGTTCTTAATGAAGTAACTCTGAAATTCCAGCTTGCAAGTATGCATGTCAAGCAATGCTAATTAAAATGACAGCCAACATGTAAATTCTTTTAAAAATCACAACCATATAAAGTAAAAAGTTCATCAAAACATGGCTATCAATAAAGCAGAGCAAGCAGTATTTTTTCACTTCTAAAGGTTTAATTCATAAAAGAAGAGCTGACATGAATTCCAGATAAAGTCCAGCTGCTCCTGATCCAAATTACAGCTGAGATCTTTTAAAAAGCTAGTCACCTCCACTTATATACTAGCAGAGCATTGTAAATCATTTTTATGATTTATGATTTACAAAAGAGGAAAGCAGTTGGATGAAAATAATTCACATTTCCATAAACTGCAACTGAAATTAAATGCTGCTCCTTACTGACCTCCCTCTGTGCAGGTGCAGGTGCCAACTGCTGCCCACACACACAAACATAAATTCAGTGGCTTAGTGCACAGGAGCATTCTCTGGTGCCTCAGCCTATCATGGAGCTACTGAACCCAGGGAAGGGCTCTGTCCTGTAGCCCGTGAGAGAACCCAGATCTCACCTCTCCAAGATTTCTGGAGTGCTTTCAGCCTCTCAGGATCGTTTTGCAGTTTATATTTAAAGTAAGTAGTACCAGGAACCAGCAGAACACAAGATGCCTGCGTTATCAGCAAGTTAGCTATTAAAGGGTTCTCATTTCCATACACCAGAATTAATCATGGTTTGTTTAACTTGGCATGTCTTCCAGCACAGTACATCAGAGCTTCCTATCAGAAGCACGCTGTTAATATATTATTAAACAGGTTTTCAAATACACTCCCCTGACATGTGCACTGTCTGAGATCTGAGAATATATTCTCCTCTTTATTCAGGTGACAAAGGAGCCAAGGGCTTATCAGGGGTTCCTGGAAAAAAAGGAAAAGCAGGTATGCTATGCATCCTTCTCTGCAGAATGGTCAAGTCTGCTGGATTTTTGATTTCAGGACTGGTTTGTCTGGAGTTTCGGGAAATTTTGAGGTCCACGGGAAAACATGAGAATAAACAGGAGGAGACTGAAAATGTTTTGTTGAGCAAAAGGAAGATTAGGATAGGACATGACTGATGCCTACGAATACACCAACGTACACAAAATAAGAGTCACTCAAATTAATGGGCAATGTTTGTTATCACAAAAACTAACACATAGACAGGCCAGCAGTTTACATTTATACTGGATTCTAGAAGAAAGTTACTAACATAGTCAGTTCACTAACATAGTCCTTCTACCGAAAGTTTTGCCAATCCCACCTCTATGCATACTCACAAAACTCCTTCACTGAGAAAGCAGCAGTTCCCCATTTCATGGATGCTGTTTCTGTTGGAAGGCTGGGGGACCTGCGCTGATTACAGATACAAAGGTAGATCTTTGGTATTCAGATGTGAGGCTGTAGTGATCCTCCTGACAAGCCACATCTCTGGAGCTAGATGGAATCAATAATGAGAGGGGCAGAGGATGTACAAATCCCACACTGATATGGGTCAAAAGAAGATGGCAAACTCTTCTATGCACATTTTTAAGCCAGTTAGCAAGGGATTATACAGAGCCAAAATATTTAGCGCTTTGATCAGCAGAAGTACAGCCAGTGGGTCAAGGGGAGACTGGTTGTCCACATGTAAAGCCTGGGTCTTCAGAAGCTTTGGAAGTGGGCTATGGGTGACTCTCCATGCACACACACAAATGCTTCTAAACGGATAAATCCTCTACCCTTTGTATTGCATTAGGCACGGTCTGTGACTGTGGAAGATACCGCAGATTTGTTGGACAACTGAATATAAATGTTGCTCGTCTTAATACATCCATCAAGTTTGTAAAGAATGGTAAGGATCTTTATGTATTTGATGGGTTTTAATTGGCTTCAATAGCAGTTATCATTGCTATTCTTCTACCATTGCTTCTCTATGGCAGAAGCCACAGATGACCCAGAGAGAGGGTCCTGCTGTGCCAGGCACTCTAAAAACCTACAAAAGAGAGACAGTCTTATACCTATAAGAATGTAAGGACCAGATGACTAAAGGCAAAAACAATAAAGAATTATCTACAACACAACAGAATGAATAATGAAAAGCACAAGGCACAGCTTGCTAATCACCTCTGCACTGTCAGTCTGCTTAGGCTCAGTGTCCAGTCAGGCAATGTAAGGAAAAAGTTTGTGTCAATCTACTCCAAAGAGGCAGGAAAAGCAATAGGAACCTCTTGATCTTTCTGTTGCCCAGGAAGGCTGCAAACATTGTATTCCTAGTGCTCCCTTCAGTGCAAGCGTCATTTTTCTGTAACAGGGAGCCAACACTCAAAGACATGGGTTATAAGAAGCCACATTTGCAGGTAGTGCTGTCAGCTGGACAGTGCAAACTGCCCCACTGAAAGGAAAGTAGAGAGTTTCCTGGCATATCAGAGATTTTGAGACAGCTCCACCACTGCTTCCAGGACTAGGGCTGCATCAGTAAATTAAATGCATTTGAGACTGTTCTCTGTCACTGCAGGCATCCAACAGAGAACTCATCTGTATTATAAATCCCACAAAACTGAATGACATATTATCAAGGAGTATCTCTCTACTAACTCCTAAACTGTGTGTGGGATAACTCCTAAATTGTTTGGGAGAGTGTTAAATGTCCTAGGCCAAACACTGCTCAGGACCATGCCAGCAATCCATCAGCAGAGACTACCAACTTCCAGCTGCCCAGGCACGCTCCTTGTCACTGCTTAATTCACGAGGTTATACACTGGTTGAGAGGTCTGCCTTTTAAAGCTGCTTAGCAGCCACAATTTTCTTCCTAGTCAATGCCACATAGTGCTACAGCAGCTCTGAATATCAGGCTGTATTTAAAATGTCTTATTTTAGCAGTCACATTCATTTCCTCTCTATGGAAAGGGCCTGAAAAGCTATCTATATTCCTGTGTTTCTATCCCTGGGCACTCTTTCACAATTTATATTCAAACACGTACAATGGAGGTGATTCAGAGTTAGACACTGCTATTTGACCATATAGCATGCCTTAATTTGGCTAGTATTAGATATCTATGAAGTAAAACTTATGTGTCACAGGAGACACACCAACCAGGACTGAATAGTTCTTGTCCTAATGTGTGCAAGGTGCTTGTCAGTCCCATTAGTTGCATCACTCTCTGATCATGTCTTCATTGTTCATCACAAATTCAGTGCTGGGAATACTTTTCCTCTTTCCCTTTTATCAATTCTAATCTAAAAATCATCTCGCTGTCATGTGGGAATAGAAGCACCTTCAGCACCTGTTGACATGCCATTAAGCAATTTTTCTTCTCCTTTAAAGTAATAGCAGGTATCAGGGAGACAGATGAGAAATTCTATTACATCGTGAAAGAAGAGAAGAATTACAGAGAAGCCTTGATCCACTGCAGGGACAGAGGAGGAACACTGGCCATGCCTAAAGATGAGGCAACCAATGCCCTGATTGCCGACTACATCTCCAGCAGTGGTCTCTTCCGAGCCTTCATTGGGCTGAATGACATGGAAAAAGAAGGACAGTTTGTGTATGCAGACAACAGCCCACTGCAGAACTACAGTAACTGGAAGCAAGGGGAGCCTCATGACCCAGCTGGCCATGAGGACTGTGTGGAAATGCTCAGCACAGGAGAGTGGAACGACTCTGAGTGCCAAGTCACCATCTACTTTGTATGTGAATTCCTCAAGAAGAGGAAATAAAGGTGCCAGAGAATGTGCCTGGCACCTGCTGTGTATACAATAACCCATCCTCACTCATCTGCTGTAGAGAGAGCAAACCAGGGATAGCAAACTAGGGATAGGACCGAATCCAGCCTTCACGTCACCGGCTTAAACAAGAGTAGCTAAGGTTTAGTCATCAGTGACGATAAAGTCAGCAAAGATTTGCAGAGGGCATCCAGCCAGTTGTGAATTTTTGTTTTATTTATACATGCATTTTAGGGTGGACATTTCTTTGTGTAATTTAGGGGTAAACTGAGAGCATGCAGAGGTGAATATAATTTCACCAATGCCAGAAATAGTAAGCTCATTGGTATATTAATCACTGATGTGATTTGCAAAGTCCACAAAGTGGAAAAAAAGTGAAAGAGTATGATTTTCACTAATCTCTGACCTGTGCAGGAAGTCCCAGCAACCTCCCTGGTGACTTCAGAGCTGGGAGAAGAGATTTACAGCTTCTCTTGAAAAAATCCTTCTTTTCTTAGAATCATAGAGTAATCTGAGTTGGAAGGGATCTCTGGAGGTAATCTGGTCGAATCATCCATGCAAAGCATGGCCAACTTCAAACTTAGAAGTTGGAATATTCCTTTAATTTGGCTGTGCAATTATATTACCTGATATGCATTTATCTGGACTTCTGCGAAGCCTTTGACATGGATGCCCACAACATCCTTCTCTTTAAATTGGAGTGAGATGGATTCTCTGGGTGGACTATTAAATTAATAAAGAATTAGTTGGACTGTGACATCCAGATGTCAGTGGTTGATGGCTCGAGTCCTGATGGTCATCAATGACAAATGTTGTGTGTGTCCCTCAGGAGTCCGTTTTGGGACCGGTGTTATTTCATAGCTTCATTAATCACATGGACAAAAGGATTGAGTGCACCCTCAGCAAATTTGCAGATGACACTGAGCTGAGTGTACAGTTCACAGACCTGAAGGACAGGGTGCCATCCAGAGGGACCTGGACAAGCTCAAGAAGTGGGCCCATTGGAATCTTATGAGGTTTAACAAGACCAGGTGCAAGATGCTGCACCTGGGTCAGGGCAACCCCTGGTATTAAAAACAGGCTGGGGATGAACAGACTGAGAGCAGCTCTGCTGAGAAGGACTTGGGGGTGCTGATGGATGAGAGGCTGGACATGAGCAGGCAAGATGCACTCACAGCCCAGAAAGCCAATTATGTCCTGGGTTGCACCCAAAGCAGCATGGGCAGCAGGGCAAGGGAGAGGATTCTGCCCCACTACTCCACTCTTGTGAGGCCGCATCTGCAGTGCTGCATCCAGCTCTAGAGTCTCCAGCACAAGAGGGACATAGACCTGTTGGAGTGAGTCCAGAGGAGGGCCACCAAGATGATCAGAGGGATGGAGCACCTCTCCTGTGAGGAAAGGTTGAGAAAATTGGGTTTGTTCAGCCTGAAAAAGAGAAGGTTATGGGTGACCTAATTGCGGCCTTCTAGTACCTGAAATGGGAGCCTACAAGACAGTTGGAGAAAGACTTTTTGCAAGGGTGTGAAGTGACAGGATAAGGGGGAATGAGTTTAAACTGAAGGAGAGTAGGTTTATATTAGATATCAGGAAGAAATTCTGTGTGATATCAGGAAGAACCACTGTGAGGGTGGTGAGGCACCGGATCAGATTGCCAGAGAAGTTGTGGATGCCTCATCCCTGGAAGTATTCAAGGCCAGGTTGTATGGAGCTCTGAGCAATTTGGTCTAGTGAAAGGTGTCCCTGCCTATGGCATGGGGGTTGGAACTAAATCTTTAAGGTCACTTCCAACCCAAGCCATTCTATGATTTTACAAAGGAGGGGTCTTGCTTATTTCTGTTTCCAACTCTATCTTTTATCAGGCTGGTTTGAGTTGTGAGGAATTAATGGTACTTCTGCATACAAGCCTGCACAGCTTGTAGGAAACCTGAGAATAGGTGGAGAAGTTCCAGTCTCTGAAGTCTCCCAAAATCTATGAAAGACAAAGAAAAATAAATCTAGTACAAAGAGAACTGCGCAAAGGAACCAAAACCATTCCTGTAGGCTGTAAACAGCCCCATGTAGTATAAGCTATACCTTGTGCATTGCTGGTTTAACAAGAGATTCTAGAAACATATTAACTCCCTAACTCAGAAGGCAGTGACATGTGATGTCTAATGCTAAAATCACCCATGCCTTTGCAACACAGGGCACAGCTATGCAACAGGCTTTATCCCCCAAGAATTCAGGTGTTGTTGAGCAACTTAGTCATGCACTTCAGAGGGACTCCCCAAAAATGATAAGCAGTGAACATGAAGGCTCTGCCGTCCGTGCCTGGCTGCTCACATCTGTGCATCAGAATGCCCACAATGGATCACAGCTTCATGTCTTTGAGAATATTGACAGACCTTTTTTCTTCAGACACAGCAACCACTTTGCCTTCAGAAGTGAGCCTGTTCTTAATCATGGTTCACGTTTCCTCACAGCGGGAGATGTCAAGAGACATCCCAGGGCCATTGCCATGAAATTTTCTTTTCCCACTTGACACTAAAAATTAAGGAATGATATCTGGAAGCTAAGGAGAATGCTAGACATTAAGCACCATACAGCGACGTACCCTGCAGGTCACTCTGAGCACCAGCTGCACAGTCTTCCTCTGAGTGTATGAAGAGGTGGACATGTCATCAGCTGGTAATGCAGAGGATCAGCTCCAAGTCTCCTACTGCTTTACACAGCACTGCAAAGGCAAACAGACAGTAGCCAAATTTCCTCAACCTCACCCTCAACAGGAAAATCCTCCAAACCATTTAGCTGGTTGTTAGTTTGACTCCAGGTTCACCTCTGAGCAATGATCAATGCAGGAAGATCCCAGAAGGCTCTGTGACTCAGAACCACTCTTGTAATCCAGTTTCTCTGACACTTGTTCCTCCAGAGAACCTGTTACCAGCAGTAAAATATCTGTGTTGCTACATGCCATCCAGAAAACTATTCAGATCCATGAATGAAGGGGTGGGACCACATTTGTTTTCATTGCTCCCCTACTGTGCCATGAGAGTATTTGGGCAAACAGGTTCACTTACCGCAACATAACTCAACATGAATTGTTCTTTCTCTGGGAATTGATATTCCCCAAAATTAAGCAGCATTACACTTTTTAGGATCTATACTAATAAACTCATTAAGCTAAACATTTTTGGTTTAGAATCATTCATGGGTAATGATAGAGTTAATGACTAATTCGAGGCCAAGTTTCTTGACTAAAAGTAATACCTTTTAGAAGTTCAAGGCCAGGGCTGCTGGCCTCACTCACAGCAGATCAGTTCCTACCAGTCATGCAGAAGTGTCATAGTAACATCCCTGTGAGTAGGCCCAATCATTTCTCTTCATCTCATCTTCTGACCCAAAAAGCCACCAAAACATGCTTGCCAAACTGGGGGCCATATTTTGAAACCCTCTAGTCAGACTGAGACCACTGAGTGACAAAATTTAGAGGTGTCCTTAATGCTACAACCATCAGGAACTGGATATTTTCCTGTTCTTTAGGAGGAAACTCAGAGCTCATAGAAGGTGAAAGAGGAGCATTACTTTGCTGCAGGATCAAGTTCTGCCTCATATTAGACCAGGTACTCTCCTACACATTCAAAATTGGGGAATACATGTCTAAATTGAAACTCTAGGGGTTTTTCAGGTGACCATGAGTTATGAGTAATCCTGAAGCATGCTCCACATACAGGAAGGAGTGACTGTCACAACCTCTGTGGCTGAGGGAAGTGAGTGAGGACCTTGTAGCAGGTTTGTACAATGGAAAGGCTGGAACTGCCCTCATCCTCTCCTACCACACCAGCTTCATCCTTTCTTAAACAGAAAAAAATAAACAAAACCAATCCTTTTATACATTATGTAGTAATGTAACACTGGGCAAGGCTAGGCCAGTTAAAACAAGCAGGCTTGAGGTTGCAGTTCCTTTGCTGACTACAGAAGAGGGGCACAGCAGATGTTAACCCAGCCAGGCATAAGTGTGATCGGGTGCTTGTGCAACCCATTCCTGCAGCACTAGGTCCCAGTTAATAAATTCTGCCAAGAAGCCTAACCCATAGGCCAGGCCAAATAAATAAAGCTATCCCATAGAGGAAAATTGGCAGGCAGGTGCATGCAGCCCTGCACCATGCCATGCAGACACTGGCTTGAGCCTTCACTAACTGAAATACTACAGCTGTGTTTTGCAGAAAAAAATATTCTTGTTATAATTAAGAATATGGGATATATCAAAGGTTTCATTGCTAGCCAATGGAAATTCACCGTGGTAGGTAAAGTATCTTAGGTTTCTGTACTAGGTGGATGGAGCCAGGAACACAGGAAATGGTGTCTGACTATTCACTATTTATGGTCTGTTAGTGCTTGACACTAAACCATTTTACCCAATCCCAATATTATTTTTCACATGTTTTTCTTATCATCATTGCCAGGCTGAACATTTCTTGTTTCAATTTATACCTGCTGTTTCTTGTTCTCCCACCAGTTACCACTGTGAAAAGCTTGGCTTTTTCTTCTTGAAAACTTCCTCATAGGTCCTGGCAGGCTGCTACCAGGTCCACCTGAAGCCACTTCTTCTTCAGGCTGAATAAATCCAGTTCCTTTAGCTCTCTATCACATGGCTCTGACTCTAACCATCTTGGGGGGCCTCAGCAGAACTCAGCTCCAAGTTTTCAACGCCTTTTCTGGAGGGGCTCAAAAGGACACAGTGTCTAGATGCGGTCTAACAGGTGCTGAGCAGGAGCATAATCCCTTCTCACAGGCTCCTGGCTGTGCTCCCTCTAGCACAGTCCAGATGCTGTTACCATCTTTGCTGCCAGGGCACTTTGATGCATGAGCAGCGTGCTCTCTGCCAGGACTCCCCCCAGAGCCTTTGCAGTAAAGCCAGTCAGCCCCAGCATGTATTGATGCAAGGGCTCAGCATTCCCAGGTGACAGAAACTTTCATTTGTCCTTGCTGAATTTCATAAGGTTCCTCTTGGCCCATTCCTCCAGCCTGCCTAGGTTCCTCTGTACGGTAGCACTGCCCACAGCATATTCACTGTTCCCTCCAATTTGGTGCCATCTGCAAATCTGAGGAAAGTGGACTTCATCACCTCCTCAAGGTAACTGGTGAAGATGTTAAACAGGATCTTTCTAGCATCTAGATCCCTGTGGTACTCTACTAGGAAACCAGGTAAATGTTCTCTGGGTAGAGAACAACTCATTTAACCATCCTCTTTTGAACCAAATCATCCACAGACCACAAAATCCTAACTCAGATGTAAGAATGTTGTTGGAGACAATGTCAAAAGCCTTGCTAAATTTGAGGTAAGGACATCCACTTCTCTCCCCTCATCCATAAATCCAGTCATAGTATCATAAATACAATCAGGTGGTCAGGCATGATTTACCCTTGGTAGATCTATGGTGATTGTTTCCAATCACCTTCTTCTTCATATGCCCAGAAATGTGCTTCAAGAGGACCCATTCCTTTAAGTTCCAAGGGGACCGAGGTGATGTTGATCAGTTTACAGTTCCCCAGATTGCCTTTGGCCTTTTTGAAGAAGGGTGCAACATTTATCTATTTGCAGTTATTAAGAACCTTCTATTACCTCCATTACTCTTCTGATTTGATAGAGTGACTCTGCAGAGACATCTAATCCGTGTTTTTGGCACCTTGGACCACTCCATGGTCCATGTGCTCCCATGGAGTTTTCTCGTCAAACTCTCTCAAGTAATCCCTGGTTAAACACTTTAAGTTCTCTTCGGACCCTTTCCCTAAGCACAGAGGAATGGGATATTTTGGTGGTAAAGATGGCAAATAAACTTCAGAACATCTCCATTCTATCCATGTCTGCCGTCACTGCATCCCCTCCTCCATTCAGCAATAGTTCCATGTATTCTTGCTCAGGCTTTTTATACTAATACAGCAGTGGAAGCTCTTCTTGCTCTGCTTCCCATGTAAGTCTCAACTGCATTTAGGCTTTGGAACCCCTGAGGCTACCCCTACTAACTCAGGCAATGTTTCTAAATTATTCCATTGTAGCCTGTCCTTGCTTCCATCCCTTCTACGCTACCTTTTTGTATTGGATCTCCACCAAGCTCCATGTTTAGCCACTCCAATCTCCTGACACATTTGCTTGTGGATATACAGTGAATACAAGACAGCTGCTTAAGATCTTGCTACATCATAGGAGGAATACTTCAGCACACTTCCTACTCTTTCTCGGTCAGCCAGGAATTTATGATCTTCTGTATTCTGAAGACTGTCACTTGACTCAGCGCAAGCATTATCATCCTGTTCTCCCCAGGCTCATAACACACATATGGCAAGGATACCTATGGTAAATATAATGTTTTAAAAACTAATTCTAATAAAAATGATCACAGAATCAATATACCCCATTAAGAATACATTTTCCTCAAGCATTTTAAACAATCTCACATGGGCATTCAGCAGTTCCAATTCTTTCTTTCTTTCTGCTTCTTTCACTGCCTTTAATCACTTTTCTAAAAAAACAATTTAGCACCTAGAGCAATGAAATGACACATTCTTGACCATAGCCACAAGAATATGTAGGCATCTCTATTTAGTTCCACATACAGTCTTAAGTAGTATATTGCAGTTGTA